TTGTTATAATGATGTTGCAGATCTGTCTACAGTTGGTGCATAATCATCAGAGGGCATGTTTTTATGCTTTTTATACTCTTGACCTTTCCATGTCTGTGTTTGTGTGTGGGTGAATTTGTACGTCTTATTTTGATGGCTGTGCATATAGAAATATGTTGTGGTCTAACAACAAATGGAAGCACAGGTACTCATAGGCCAGATGCACTTTTGTACCAGAAGACTGTTTTTATATGAATAAATGTTTATCCTGTTAACAACAAAGAGAAGGAGATAAGGAGAGACGTGTTTAGCAAATGATTTCAGCTTCTGATACCACTTAAATAAGTGGGTCATTTACAGAACAGGAAAATAATCATTTTTCTTTAAATGCTAGGTCTGAAACTTTAAATTAATCTGCAATTTGCATTGTAGCTGTTAACCTAGCTTGCTCCAACATTATTAAGTTTGTCTATTTCTGCTGCATCTTTTCATAAACAATAAATCGTCTGGTATTTTTGCATGTGACCTTAATAATGTGGTCATAGATTTCCGTTGCTTTCACAAATGAAAGTAGAGGGAGTTCCAAAGTGAAGAGACTGTAGCCTAACACAAGATCACTTTCAGGTTGTTGCAAATGGTTCCGCACTGAATATTACCCACTCAAGGTACAGTAAAATGATTCATGCTGTGCAAACAAAAATTATTTATTTTTTTGCTTTGAGATCAGAACTTATTTTATGCAGAATTTCTCTTATTTGGAGGTTTCTTTTATTCATAGACTTCTGCACACTGAGATGTTGTGTGCATATTTGGGAGAAAAAGGCAAAGTTGAAATGGTGAAAGGGTAAAAGTTCACCATAAACCGTCACTAAGCAGCATGGCTTTTCTTTGTTGTGTTTCCAGCAAAATGTGGTTTTACTTTAAAAAAAGAAACACGAGTGTAGAGTGCATATTTATTTGTAGCAGTGAAATAAGATCAATAGAGAAAACAATGCATTGTTTCATAAAGTTCATGATCAATTATGAATGAAATTAATTGTTTAACTTTCCTTTTTTTTCAGTGTTTGGATTCTTTATGAGTATGTCTATCAAACAACTGAAAAAATACAACACGCAGTTTTGCTTTTTGTTACCAGCTGCCATGAACGGCAGGCGATCGTGTGCCTGTGTCTGTGCATGTGTGTGCATGTATATGTTTGTCAAAATATCTCTTGAAGCAGTGGATGAATTTCGCTGAAATTGACAACATGTAAACAAATGTGAATCAGAAATGTATTAACTTTAAAGTCAATCTGAATAAAGTTGGCTGCCACAGCTGATCAACCTTAGCAAACACATAAATCTGTATAACTTGGAACATTTCAAAGATATTGGACTCAAATGTGGTGTGGTAGTAGCTGAGACTCATCCCTAGCATATATTGGGGAGTGGTGGCGCAGAGGTTAGAGAAGATGGGACTGTCATTGGAAAGTTGCAGGTTCAACTCCCGAGACTGTCAACATCAAAATGTGGGTGGAAAAGGTGAAACACCCACACCTACATTTGCCCCACTCTGGGCTCTTCAGCAAAGCTCTTAACCCCCATCATCTGCTCCCAAAAAAAAAAAAAAAAAACAGGTCTCTTTTGAAAATGAGTTCTCGTGACTCAATGAGACTACCTGTATAAATAAATGGTAAATAAATAAAATAAATACTATGAGAGCTAGCAGTTTACCAGAGATCAATGTTTAAGTCAATGAAATCTGATGCAAAATTTGTTCAAGAAATGAACATTGGCGCAGTTGGAGAGATGCCGCCTCTCAGCAAGAAGGTGGCTGGATTGAATCCCAGTCAGGGGTCTTTCTGGGTGGAGTTTGCATGTTCTCTCTGTGCATGAGTGTTTTTTTTTTTTTTTTTCCGGGTACTCCAGTTTCCTCCTACAGACCAAAAACATGCATGTTAGGCTGATTGGTAACTCTAAATTGTCCCTAGGTGTGAGTGAGAGAGTGAATGGTTGTTTATGTCGTTTGTCTCTATGTTTCTTTGATGGACTGGAGACCTGTCCAAGGTGTCCCCCCGCCTCTCGCACAGTGATTGCTGGATATGGGTAACAGTGACTCCTGCAGCTCAAAAAGGAAGAGGGTAAAGAGAATGGATGGATGGATGGATGGATGGATGGATGGATGGATGGATGGATGGATCGA